ATACTTGTCAAGATTTCATAATAACGGTTAGATAATTTTTATCTTATAAATTTCCAACATACTATGATAAGTATGAATTTAATAATTATGAGTCAAATATACCAGAGTTTACAACACAAACATGACACAATTAAAATTATCACTACTTCTGGCACGACGTAGATCGATTGAAAAAAAAAAAATTAGAACTAAATTTCCTGAAAATTATAAAAAATATATGATAAAACTAGCTACGTCGTAACAGATAATAGATACACACAAATTCAGATATATATAATAATACAACAGTTATACAAAAAATACACACACATATAAAATTTTCAGAATGAGAATTAACAAATAAACGACATATTGTTCGGACCACATGACACAGATGTTTTGGGCTAATCTGTTTTTATTTTCTTATAAATTTCATATTATTGATATCTTATATTATCCATACAAATAAATACAATTGAAGTATCTGTTTGCAATTTCAAAATAATAGCTTTTTTTTGTTATTGGTACGATACCTATGCCAAAAACCAGTTTAAATGTTTTTTGTCTGTCTGTTTGGTCCGGGTAACCTTCAAAACGGCTGGACCGATTTTGATAATATTTTACTATCAGGTAGCAGTCTATATAAGAAGAAACTTAAGCTATTTTTTGTTTCTCTGGGAATTGAACCCACTAAGGCAGCGCTTTTCTAATTCCACGCGAACGAAGTCGCAGGCACCAGTAGTATTAAATTGATAACTGAAACGTTTAAACGAAACAGCAGCATGCATGTATTATACTTTGTTAACTGACAAAAACTTTACATAGTAGGTATAAACGTGTCGCTTTACGTATTCCTAAACCACGAAGCAGATTTTGATGTAGTTTTCATTATTGGTTAGATATTTTTATGAGAAAATTTAAATTTCATATACTGATAATGAGTTTTGGAGACAGACAACGGAACTCTTCAAAGAATGACAGCAAATTAACCGCGATTGTTGCTAGGTTTGTAGTGCTCTTTGTAAGTATTGTTTGAAATCGGTTCAATGTTTTTAAGAAGGTGTTTTTTGTAATTTGAACTTTACATAAAACCAAATAAATATATATTTTATTCGATCCTAAAATTTATGAGCACACCCTTTTGTAACGTCATGTATATGTACAGAATGCCTGTCGTACAATTTTGTTCTCTTATAAATAAACAATTGAATATATCTGACTTTGGAAACAAGTCACGTAACTCACGACAGTCGAGATATCAGTGACGAAATAACTCAGGCTAATTTCCATCAATATATTATTTTATCACTTCGCAGTTTGGGTGCAGGGTTTCTTTCTTATTTGTAACATTTTTTTCGGCATTTTGCAGAATAAGAGTGAGAGAGTAAACCATGCAGACGAAATCCAAAAAAAAGAAAAAACAGACCTTCCTCCGAACAGATCCTTTGGATTTCGTCTTTGTAGACAGAATTAATAATATTTTTTTTTTCTTTTTTTAAAAGACAACTCCCGCACTAGGAATAAATCCTGTGTCGCGGGGGACTTTACAAACATGCATGAAACGGACACAAAGTACACCCAGACTCAGACCCAGAATTTGTAGATCACACAAAGTGTTGTTCCATGTGGGGTTTGAACCCACAACACCCGGCGTAATAGGAAGCGGCGTGGTGACCGCTTAAACCACTACGCCATCCGTGCAGTGTCATCCGTCTTCAAAAAAAGAAAAAAAAATATATTATTAATTCTGTCAACAAAAATAATTAATAATAATTATAATGATTTTATACACCGCACAGTCGACAGTCTGATCTCAAACTAGAAACAAACAACAAACAAACTGTTGATAAACATACCTAAACATTTCTAATACGTATGTAACGTGTTAAAGATAAATTACAACCAGACACAGAACCTATGATCGCTCATCACACAATCATGTCCTGGGTGGATATCAAACCCACGACCAAAGGGTTAACAGTCAGGGTCACTAACCACTAAACCAATAGGCCCGTCAATGCAATGTAGTTTGGCATCGAAACAATTTTTTTCCCTTAAAACTGCATGTAAAAATAAAAACATTTATCCATTGGGACAAAAACGAATTATTTATTGGGCGACATAGGATTCACTTGTTTTTTAATCCATAGTGAAACTAAAACTAACAAAACCGACTAAAATAATCAAAAAGTCCCCCGCGACACAGAATACATTCCTAATATGGAAGTTGTCTATTTAAAAAAATTGTCGGTAGCCCTTTAAGAAAGGAAAATTCAAGTTGTTATAACGAATTTATAATGTTATATGTTTTTACACAATTTACGTAAAAAACTCCACATAATATTATGTATAGAACATAAGTGGTAAACGTAAAATCGTTACTCTAATTATACGTTACACAAATAACAATTTTTAACCTTTTAAACCCACAGCGTATTTTTACGTTCAAAATGTATAGCTCGAAATATTTCCTAATGTTTTTCGAATGGGAACCTAAAACCCTTTTTTCATTGAGAAAAAATATTTTATGTTTTCGTTATGATATTCATTTTATTAAGAAAAACATTGCTACGTATCCTGAAATAAAATGAAAACAATGTTTTTTCTAGAAAAAAACCACCACCATTAAATATTATATATCAGAGAATATAAAGTACATTTTTATATAATTACAGGCCGTGGTTACTGACTGAGGGTTAGTACAACCTCGTAGCAACTACCGTGGGAGAGCCATGCTTCGGCACGAATGGGCCGGCTCAACTGGAATGATACCACAGCCTCGCAGAAAACCGGTGTTAAGCAATCCTTTCGTTGCCTTTCACTGAGTGAGTGAGGTTACGGGAGCCCAAATCCCCCCTCGCGCTGACTCGAGCGGGAGGGACTCCAAGGGTAGAAACTCACTTGTGAATTTTGAGTTGCAGGTGTCCATGGGCGGCGGTAGTTGCTTACCATTAGGAGACCCGTCTGCTCATTAACCCCCTAATACAATAAAAAAAAACGTCAGGTAATACAAAGATATGTGGACACCAATAAGGTAATCATATATTCAGTCCCTTAAGAATAGACAGCATGAAGAAAGAAGTTAGAATGCAGTGTATTATATATTGATAGTCAGTATGCTTGTGACTTTTGAACAAAACAACAATTTATAAAGAACATTTGATGCATATACTAATCAATTTTATAATGTACATTTATACTTTCTTGCATGGTTTATTTTTTCTCATTTCGACTACACAAGAATATACTACAATACAAAATTCTAAAGTGTTATGTTTTAGAATTTTGTATTGTAGTATATTCTTGTGTAGTCGATTATATTAATTTAGGAAACTTTACTGTCTCTCTAGCAACCGGAAAATTACGAGTAAGTAAAAGTGAGTCTAAAATTAATGACACATTAACATGATGTAATTTGCCACTGTATGTATCCCAAACTTTAATAAAATTAAATAATAAACTCCTAAAAATAGCTACGATACCTGTAGCGTAAATAACCAGTTCCTAAAATAAATTACGACAAACAAATCCACCAGTTTTCAATACAAAGTATTTCAATTTACAAACTCTCGTTACAATTTTGTCCGTCGCTGCACACGGCGGAATGAAAACAACGACCTTCTACTATAGAAACGATTTTATTGATGACAATGAAAATTGTTTGTTCCTTTTTTTTCTCTTTTGGTGGAAAATTGTAAATGTTATTCAGGTTTTTCAATCACGTATTTTAGAAAAGGAAATTAGCAGATTTAATGTAAATTTTAACTTACCTGTTAAGAAAATCTCAGTAAACTTGCATGATTCGTGTTGTTGATTCGCTATTCATACAAAACGTGGGTGTTGATCATATGCCCTAAATAAACTGTACGAATATTTCATAAAAAAAAATAGTCTTCGCCATCTTAAAAATTAACTAAACAGAGATGTACTAATGTAAAACATTGCTTTTAAATGATGTAATTCATTCATTCCAAGTTATCATATCATTTTTTCCTCCGTGTGGTGACTTATTAGGAATACAGAGTGTCACCACCTCTATTCATCCCGTGGGTGTCGTAAGAGGCGACTAAGGGAGCAAACTACGCAGGACAACAGCACTGCAGAGAAAAGGAAAACTTGACACAAACCCTATTCCAACCCGTCTGGCCAGCGTGGTATAGTAGGCCAAAACCTCCTTTCTAAGGAGAGGCCTATGTCCAGCAGCGGACTAGTAAAGGCTGATGATGATGATATCTAGGTAAGCGTAAAAAATACGTTTTTATCTAGTAATTTGTTTGATTTAAAACAATACAAGTGAAGAATTTTATTTAGTTAGACACTTTAAAGTAAGATAAAAAATTAAAGATCCTTTAGACCATATTATAGTGACAGCAATCAGTGAAAGCAGTATCACGTTAGTTTCTGAATTCACATCCCAGGTCGCATTAATCTTCGTACTTGATTATTTTTCACTCGCACTGTGAGTTAGTTATAATATCTCTCCCAGAAGTTTAGCAATTAACAGAAGTACAAGAATCTGTGTCATGTGGTTTGTTAGAACTTAAAATTATTCTTAGTTTAAGTATACAGTCTTTAAGATTCTAATTTATTTACAATAATAGCCATTTTCAATGACCGGCTAAGTGACATAACAATATGAATGTGGTTATGAATTATGCTCCAACGAGTTCATGATAGATCGTTATTTTTTATTAACACAGTAATTTTGGTTTTCCGTTTCTCTTTGTATCTATATTTATTTGAAATGATATTACAATTACAATATTTACATATGAAATAAATTATATTTTTGTCAAAAGAAAATAACATCTTTAAAACTGTCAATTAATTCAAAAATCTTGAATTACATTAAACCTATGATTACTTAAAATGTTACCTGTATTACATACAATTATTATACCGTCGTATATACACTAATAATTGTTCGATATTTACAACCATGGCATGTCCCGTGACCCGTATCACATCACATCAGTTTTAACACTGTCACTTTACACATAATTGTAAATATCTTCCATATCTCATACGTTCATTTCTGACATTGCAGCTTGCGGGACTCGAGACTGTGCAAAGTGCTGCGAAGGCGGTGAAGACGGAGGGGGCAGCACGGAGCCATTTCCAGGCCCCTGATTTTGTCCGGTCTGCGCCTGAACATCCGGCAAATTGCTAGCACTACTCATAAAAGTCGCATTTTTAGGCAAAGTCATACAATTTGACGCATTACATATCTGATTCTGCTGATAACTGAACCCAACTTTTCGTGGTAACGTCGTACACTGGCCCCTATTCGTCGGGGGACTCGTTTTCTGTGACAAATTCGACATTTGTATCCCCGTGTGACAAACGTTCGGGCAGTTCGCTGTAGTAAAGTGGGGAACTCGATTTGTCATTGCTATTATCGCGTTTTTGTCCTGATGATCGATGTCGACAATAGTGCTCGAACTCTGTGAGTGACCGACAAAATAATGAGGATGTTTCGATGAAACGCTATCGAATGTTGAATTATGGTTTCTTTTCTGTTGTTGTTGAAGCGCTTTTACTTGCAACCGGGTCTTATCTCGTTGATAGTAAACACCGGCAAAAATTAAAACATTCAGAATGAGAAGGGAGCAGCCTATAGCTATCGTAACACTCAATGCTGTAGAGTAAGCAGTGTAACCTGCTACTTCTAAATTGGATATGTCCTGTGTGTGCGTGTTATTCGGCACTTGTGTTTGTGTGACAGCAGATCCTGGGCGAGCTGACATCACGCTGATGCAGGTAGTGACGTAGGTGTCCATAGTTGTTGAGGGTATTTCCAAGGTGAGGTTGTAGGTCGGCTTGCGGTACAGTTCTAATGTAGGGTCGAAATAGTTTGCGCGTGTGAGTGGATCGGGTCTAACGAGACCGTCGTACAACTCAGGGTCATTGTGGTTTCTAAAAAGGTTGTGTTTGGCTACCACATCCTTCATTCCTGCGCGGTGAATCTCTGGGATGAGACGCAGCCACACAGACAGTTGATGTGCTCTATAATGGTTTTTCATACGTGGTTTCATACCTGTAAAGGAATTTTCGATTGTGTAACGGGCTAAGGAATTTCGAGGACTAAAATTTTGCGGCTACGATAAATAAAAAGTTTAGCGTCATCAAGTTTACATTTTTCTTTTGTAAATTAATGATGTCGTAAAATAATTATTTGAATATTCGTCCGCTTAAAAGGATGAGTTCAACTTCTTGTAAATTAGTTTTATTAAAAACAGTTTACATTTTTTTATTTTCTCTTTATTATGTTTATTAACTTCATTTAAGACTTACCGATCTCTAAATATTTCTGATACAGGGTGTCGTATTCATCCCACACTATACTCTTGTACTTGTTTCGTTCTCTTGAAATCGGCAGAACAGATTCTTGGCGATGAGCTTCATTAGGATTCCTATGAAGAAAAATATTCTCATTATTTTTATTTTTTTATTAAAAAAAAAATTATGTCCTAAAAACACATTTTTGAATTCGTGTAATTTTCAAATAATTAACAATAGTAACGTCCAACATAAGATAAAAATGTAATATTTGAATAAAAATCTGTGTCATTTAAAATTTTATGAACATTAGCCCATGTAATTTTCATGAAAGTTTTAGAGAGACCAAGTCATACTTTTAAACACTAATTTTTTTTAGTCGTTAGTTTCGTTTAATGGTAACGTTGACTGCGAAATGAGGTTATTTTTCAGGTTACATGAATTAAAAAAACTACGTTAAAGCCAAGTTAAAAGCCTACAAGCATTTCCTTGAATCAGCATATTATTTGCCTATACATATATAAATGGAATACAAGAATTTTAAAAGTTAAAAAAGTTTCCCTTTGTATTTTAAATGATCACGAGTGAATGATATTATTTAGGACAGAAGTGTAACATATCCTTCTTACTCGTGACCTTTTAACAAGTGAGTTGAAAGACAACCGTCCATTAATCAATAGAAAAGTAATTAAATTAAAAATACCTAGACTTAATGAAAGGAAACTGTCTTACTACTACTTGTCAAACTTTCAAGAAAAGAGCGTACTCCTTCCTAAAAGGCCGGGAACGTGTTTGAGACTCCTGACTTGCAGACGTTCATGGGCGGCGATGGTCACTTTCATCAGGTGACCTTACCACCGTGGGGTGCTTTTTACTATTTTTCAAATTTACTAAAATTTATTTTCTATTTTTTAGTTTAGTTTTCTATAAAAAGCGTGTTTTTTTGTTTTTTAAAACTATTATGTTATGGGTCAAACTTGTAAGAATCAAATAAGGCACGGGGAAAAGACCTCTTCAAACTATGTTGTGGCAGACGAGCAGACGGGTCACCTGATAGAAAGTGACCATCGCCGCCCATGAACGTCTGCAACTCAGGAGTCTCAGACGAGTTGCTGGTCTTTTTTTTTGGTTCTTTTTTTAAATTAGTGTATTGTCATCGGTCCTCGATATATCTACAAAGTTTGAACGAATTCTGACCGTTTAAAGTCAGTCAAAATCACGCCCAAAGGAGTCGGTTACAAACAAACATACAAGTGAAGCTAATATAAAGCGTGTAAAAATTAACTAGCCATTATGACCATGTTTTTATAATTCTGTAAATAGGCTTGCTATTGTTTGGTTTAATTGTATAGACTTTAACTTTGTAACCAGTATGAGCGTGCCTCAAGTTTTAATGAAAATAAGATTTTATTTTCATTGGCTCCAATTACTTAACTCACGAAATTTACTTAACTCAAGTAAGAACTTAATTAAGTTTGTTTCATAATAACGACATTATCTAACTACCCACTTATGCGAAAAATATTTAATGTTCTCAACAAATAAAGTTTCTAACAATCTGTTTTGTTTTCAAATTCAAACTTCGGGTTTTGAATAGTTTCAAATGTATCAAACAATTAAATTAAGCGATGAGTTTAAAATCTAAAGTTGACGTTTGAAAATATTTGCCAAATGTTACCAACTTAAGTTTAAGTAGCTTCTATAAATCAAAAGGTATTCACAGATTCAATAAAGGGTCTGTCAATCACGTATATTGCTTTTAATACTAATATTGTTCTTTAATATTTAAAAATGGTAATAGAAAAAGTTATTTATGCATAAATTTAATCTATTTTGGTTTGCGCAAAGTATTGGAGAACTTTTCTTTGATATTGAAGAGGTAGACAGAGCTGTATTGAATGCCACCATTTTGTCAACTATAACTGTGAACCCACGCTCTTAATAGATGTCGTCTAGATACTTTATTGATTAGATGAGAAAACTGGAAGTACAATGGAAAGAGATAGCTAAACAGAGAAACCAATGGTAGGAAAGGGATATGGTTAATATGAATGAATTAGGTAAGCAAATCCGAGCATCTAACCGACTGCCGTTACCAACAGGAAAACTTTTGAAAGATTGGCCTTTTACTTTAGCAATAGTTTCTTAAACATAAACCTTATTATAATGAACTTAATTCTCAATTCAAGATGACGAGGCAAATATTAATAGCACATCAGAAGCAAGCTTTAAAGGTTAAACAGGAAAGTGGCAGTTAATACAATATTTGCCCATCCAATTGAGGTCTGAATAAATAATGATACAGTGTTTTGTTTTATTGCGTTGATTTATGTGCTGTCGTGAGAAATAATGTTCACGCTTAAATGGTTAGTCGGCATGAATTTGTTACACACGCGATTTCTTACGTAGCGAAAGTACCTAATATTATTGATTTTCTTGATAATAAAATAATATTAGTAGTTTTTGTTGAGACAGTCGCCTTTCAACACTTTTTAAATGTAGTTTACGTGTTTCTTCAACTGATTTAATGCAAGATTTATGTTTTTTTTTAATGAAATAGATAGGATTAGAATCGATACATAGAGTTAAGAAGCCGTGCAAATCGATCTAAGTGGCGTGCAATGGGAGAGGCCTATGTCCTGCAGTGGACTGCGATAGGCTGATGATGATGATGATGATGATGACATAGAATTAAAGGAATTATGTTTAAAATTAGTGTTTGTATAAAGGACTACATACATAGATAAGGATTACATATAGGGTCCATCATGTATTATATACGAGTACGCAAAGGAGTAGGCACTCAACTGATACAGAATCGCTCCTAGAAGCCTGCTGGAGCCTCCTAGGAGCTTAGTTGGGTCACCTAGCCAACCTTTTCCTCGACGCATAAAGGACCATTCTTAAGTCTGAATGCGGAAAGCGGAGCCCACAACCAATACTAATATATACAAGTACATAAAAATAGTAGCAAAATAGCAAGAAGGCTAGTTCATGTCTGTGTCCTCAGTACGGTAGCATCTCCAATTAGAGTATGGATTTTTATTTATTTATTTAATAGCTAATGCACAGGTAGTAAAGAAGCGGACTTAATGCCATGGGACATTCTCTTCCAGTCAACCTTCAGGAGATGTAGAAATATGTTGCGATAGGTGCAAAAATAAAATATAACATTTGACATAGTTCATAAAAAAATGACTTTTACATAAAAGATAACACACAACACACACACAATACATATATATATTTGTACATATATACATAAACTTAATATACGTAATATAAAATTATTCAGTCGGGTACTACGATTGTGATTGTTCTGCCAATTCATTCCGAAGAAGATCGCGCACTTTAGTCTTGAATAATTGAATGACTGAATATCAGGGCAGAACTGACAGACAGAAAATATTCTGACCCTGGCTTCGATCTACTAAATTCTGAGTTTTTTCATTTCTAAGCTTGCGGAATCTATTATCTTAGCTCCCTAACCTTATCCTTCCCTCTTTCGTCCACTCTGAAAACGATTACACTCCCAAAGAGGTTTGGCGTCATAAATGAAACATTAGAATAGTTACAAATTGCGCCACCACTAAATAAAATGTGAGCAAACTAATATGGTTCAGTTTTTTTTTATGGCATAAGGGGCAATCGAGCAGACCGGTCACCTGATGGTAAGCAACTACCGCCGCCCATGGACTAAAAAAACACAAATGCGTTGCTGCCCTTGGAGTCCCTCCCGCTGACTCGAGCGGGAGGGACTGGGGGGATTTGGGCTCCGGTAACCTCACTCACTCAGTGAAAGGCAACGAAAGATTTGCTTAACACCGGTTTTCTGTGAGGCCGTGGTATCACTCCGGTCGAGCCGGCCCATTCGTGCCGAAGCATGGCTCTCCCACGGTAAAATGTAATATAATAATAATATAATATATATTAATATGATAAATAATAATAATATTTTTTACTTTGATTAAGTGCTTATCTAAATTCCATCTTATTTAACGAAGTTGCATTTTTACTTTAGTTCAAATTCTACTGATATAACTAGTTCTATAAGTATTTAAAAACTATGTTAACGAAGAAAACTTAATAAACAATACGTAATTAAATATTATAAAAAAACATGTATTACAAACTAAAGAAAACTCACCCACTTCTCGCAAAATTGGCGATGTAAAGAATAAAAGATTCGGACAAAGCTACTTCAGATTTTGTGTAGTTCTTTGGGAAATGTCCGAGACCATCAACCAGTGGAGATCCAAATAAGTAGGGGAGCTCTTCCCCATGCACAGAGCCCATGCGCTGAAAACAAATTTACCTTGAATATTTTAAATCTATATCTACTAACGTAATGAAGCTGACCTGCTTTTAGTTTATTTAGTTAAAGACAATAATAATTTCACACATCTCACACACGGCCGTCTGATCCCAAACTAGTCAGAGCCTGTCCTACGGTAACCAGAATGCTAATAAACATACTTATAAATTTTTACAAACCCTATACCAACCCGTCTGGCCAGCGTGGTATAGTAGGCCAAAACCTCCTTCCTAAGGAGAGGCCTATGTCCAGCAGTGGACTAGTAAAGGCTGTTGATGATGATGATGATGATAAATTTTTAAATACATACATAATTCTACTTTAACGCCATCTAGGCCCAAACTAAGCAGAGCTTGTATTATGGGTACTAGACAACTGATATAAATACATATATACTTTTTTTTTTGTAAATACATACTTATTATACATAGAAACACCCAGACCAAATCAAACATTAAATGATCATGCACATAAATGTTTGACTTGAGCGGGAATCGAACCCGCGACCTTTGGAATAGCAGGCCGTTACACAAACCACTACGCCATTCGGTCGTCTAAAATTTATATAAATTACACCCAGACACAGAACAAATGATGGTGCTTATCACACAATTATTTGTCCTGGGTGGGAATCGAACCCACGACCTTCGGGTTAGCATTCAGGGTCATATTATCAGTCAGACTTAGAAGTTTTTTTTTTTATTAGATGAAATATTCTTTAGATTTGGGAACAATTTAGGTTCTCCCATCTTTAAAAATACTCATACTGCAGAAGTCGGTTATAAATACCATTATTCGATTAGTGCTCTGATTTCTATTAAAATGTGGAGTCACCAGAAACGCAAAGAAAAGAAGAGATGTGTTATGTTTGAAATAATAACAAAAGTTCTAATGATCACATGGCCTAATATAATTACATATATTTTTTTAATAAAACAATCCAAAATTGATATAATGAGTTACTGATATAATTTTATTTTATCTAATGTTATGCAGTTTAATAAAAAAAAATATAATGCACATTTGAATATGAAAATCAGTTCCAATTATCGTTTCATAAAAAAGTATTTTACAAATAAATTTACTTATAATGAATTCAATTCTATTAAATTACATAATGACACACCCGATACACACACAAATCTACATTGTCCAACATACAATCACATTTAAATTAAATACATACATCACTTGCATTTAAATTACAATATTTTTTTTACAAATTGAAAATTTTATGAACGTTATACTGAATGTTATTAGAGCAAATGAGATTATTTGTTTTTATGACATAAAAAATATAAAACATATTTATACTTATCTAAATTAAAAGAGTAATTTTATAGTTCCCAAGTTGATGTACGAGTAAGGTTGTTTTTGTTTACAAATTTTATGTTTTTTCTTTTTGATGGTCTGAGTTTTACAACTGTAATAGTATGTAGTTTATTTTTGTTAGAATTAGCAGAGATATAAGCGATTTGGTGTACACTGTGATGCTTATATTTTATTAATAAAGAATTGAATTGAATATATGACGTGAATGTTATTTCTAGTGATATAATAATATCTGTTAATATACCAAATATAACACACCTAGGAAGAAGACAGAAAAAGGCAATAAAATTTAAGCACCTTACTCACCTGTGGATAATCCCCATCTTTGGTTTGGTAATCGAATACGTAGAAAAATGTCTTGGATGATGAGTCGGGAGAGCTTAAGAAGTCACCAGTTTGGACAAGTGGGGCGACGTACTGAGCATCTGATATTGCTAGTACTGCTGCGTCTCTTGTATTTATAGGATGCTAAGAAAAAATAATTGAAACATAAAATATTATCTGAAAGTTTATTTCTTGTGAATTAATCGACTAATGACTGTCTGAAATGTTTATGGACTTTATATTTAAATATACACGGAAATTTTAACTTCAATATTTCTTCAAAATCAAATCTCTTATGAACTAGTACTTAAGTAATAACTTCAGACAGAGCCAATTATAGATACATATCAATAGTGTATGGGTTTTGCTGTCACAAAAATCATATTTGTAGGTTTCTTTATTGTTTTGAACTACCAGATGTTGAGCGATTTGTACTTAGTCAGTTCGAGTCCGACATAACCACCGGTGGGTGGTATCCCAGGGGATTTCGGCACAAGAAAAAAAAGGATGCTAAGAAAAAAAATTTGAAATATTAAATATTATCTGAAAGTTTATTTCTTGTGAATTAATCGACTAATAGCTGTTTCAACTGTTTATAAACTTTATATTTATATACACATGGCAACTTTAACTTAATTATTTCTTAAAAATCAAATCTCTTATGAACTCCCATAGGTGGAAAAATTAGTAATAACTTCAGACAGGGCCAATTAGACTCCTGGTAAACATACTTATTGGAATGAAGTTCCTTATCGCGCGTTATACACTATGAGCGAATGGGAGCGAAACTGAAAAATGTGTAACAAGACTTTTTCCGACACTTCAGTTTGGCGCTTCGACGCTTACACCTTTTTTATATGTCATAAATATAGCAAACGTCTACCAAGGGAAAGGAACTTCGTTCCGACCGGGGGTCCGTAGACCCTTCGCGCCGTTTATATTACTAAATAGGTAAATAAATATTGTAGATAAATTACACCAAGACGGAGAACAGATGATCGCATTCATCACATAATTATTTGTCTACGGTGGGAATCGAACCAATTACCTCTCGCTTAGCCATCAGAATCGGTAATCACTGCACCAATAAATCAATCACTAGATTAATACCGGCCGTTATTTACAGATAACAGATCATAATTATAACAGGTTTCATAATCATTAATCAAGAGGCTTCATTTAAGTCTTATCATATCGCGAATCGAAAATTGCTTGAAAGTGTGACTCTGTTATTTGATGATTTATATGATAAAACTGTGTGTGTGTTTTTTTTCAAACAATTGGAATCCCTCTTCATTTCCCAGAAGTTATTTTACTCATGCATGTATTTCATTGATACCCAAAATGGTGATCGGTGCAGCAGACACCGATTCGCAAAATCGCGTCACCCAAGGGGTTATAAACGACCCCCAGCGGTTCTAAAACTAGCTAAAATGAAAACACAAAATGATTTGTAGCAATGTAGCACGTTAAGTGTTCTTAGAAAAATCCTTTTTTTTTTTTTTTTTTAACGTGTGGAAATCCCCTCGGACCGTCACCCCTCCGGGGTTTGCAGCGGGGTGGTGTGTCGGACTCGGACCGACTAAAACCACACGGTGTGCCACTCTGCGCCTGTAACAGGAGGGATCCGGGAACAGCAGAAAAATCCTAACCCAAACCAATAAGAGTTAAGTGGGTCCATTTTAGAATTTTGAACCAAAAAATTGAATATTGCACGAAAATTAGCCTTATTGAAGTCGATAACAAAATAATAAGTAAACAAAGAGACAGTATTATTATCCTCAAAGAAGAGCGAATCAGCTCGGATAAAGCAGCTTAGCAGTACAACAAACAACAGAAAAGGAAGAAAGTTTGATGGCTCCATCAAGACAATCCTGAGTGATTTAACTCAACAAGTTATCATAACAATTCAAAACTGAGGGCACGGCAATGCTTTCGTGAAATTGAACAAAAAATAAAGGTATGCACAGCTTTACATTCTTTTTCTCGAAGCCATTGAGGAAATTGTCGACCTCTTATAACTTTGTTTTGGTTAAAGTTAGAAGCCTGAATTTACAGTGGCCAGAGGACATAATCTATCTCGATATATTCTTAAAGAAAACTTAACTTTGACTTGAAATTGCATAAAAATACATCTAAGTTTTCAGTTAAGTCAGTAAGAAAAAATAAAAAACATACCGCAATTTCAGTAGGTACGATGGAAAAATTATTCTATTTTGCAATGAAATGAAGATATAAAAAAATTATAGTCGCTATTAATTGCCGTTTAAAAAAAACAGGTTAAAATTTTCACTGTCGTCTAATACCAACATGTTCAGATGGTAATTCTTCAAGAAACTTTGTATCTAATGCTTCGACCGAATTAGACTACGATAGGTGCATAATCGGGTAACCAAAGATATTTCTTACTTTTAAAACATTGTGGTGATTAAATCCTGTTTTAATACTTTTTTAAAATAAACTTGTAAATAAACGTGTTGTTTTATGGATGCTATAAATTAGTAGATTAAAACAAAACTTCTCAGTTATTTTTACCTGTACAGTCCTCTCCCAATCAGTATATTCATTGACTATTGTGAAAAATATTTCGCTTAAATGATATGTGTATGCATTTCTTACGTAGGTCCTGCAACAGAAAATACTTATTATAATATATGTGAAAAATGATACTTCACACTTGACTACAGTTGGTATGTCTTTTCAAGTAAAGTTTTAATGTGGAAGATTATACCATAGCAAGATTCAGTAATACTGCAAACTTGTTCCTCGCAATCTGCAGTTCAACGAACGCTCAAAGTTAGTTACTATCAAAAGTCAGTAAATTCATTTTAAATTTAATTTTATCGAGATTTTATTCTAGTAGAACCTTAAAACGTTTGAGTAAATATATTTGATTAATACTCCGAACACTTGTTATTTTCGAGCGTTTTCGAGCAGACGTCAAGTGTACCGCGGATTTTTTTTTTTTTTTTGTTTTCCACCATGTCGGACTCGAACCGACTAAAACCGCACGCCGTCGCGGGTACTAATAGCCGGGGAACCAGGTATACTCTAGAAAGGAAGTCCCTGGTGCCCCGAAATACCTCGAGCTGTCCACCACAACAGGTAGACGACCGCCCCGTGTGGGAACCCCATGCTCCCTCTGCTCTTGACACTTGCATCTCAAGAACACGAGTAAGTAAGCCGCTCTTTACTGTGAGGCTATGGTATCACACCACGAGCCAAAGCATGGCTCTCCCAAGTCAAAATTATCATAGATATGTATACAAAGTAACGCTATGTTACACACATACATTTCTTCCTTCAATACAAAAACAAAATGGCCTACATCCGCATCGCACGAAATTATTCGTCATAAAATAGCACAGGGTTACTTCAAAGGTTTTCACAGAACCCCTTTCAACTCTCAGAGCGTATAAGTCTGTAATTGGTATCAGAAAGCGACAAAGAGAACATACTCGTATTTTGTGACATAAAAGTGAATTTGTTATTAAAATTGTAATAAAACCTATAGATAATCTTTTGTATCAACCAGAAATAAACTTAACGACCCTAACAAGTAAAGAGACGATTAATTTACAGAACAAAATTAAACTGAACTCTTGTACTAAAAGTTTATGAATTAATCATTGTCTTTCTTTGTAATTTTAATTAGTACAACCCGTTTGACTTACAACATATTACAAAATATTTCGATGTATACGTATTGTTTTCTTTAGTCACAAAAAGTCTTCGAAAAATATTTTCGTACTCCACACGGTCAATGCCTTTGATTACTACCTATTCACGAAGAGACGCCGCATGGCCCAAGTTCAAACACCAATTTTACTGAATAAACATCGACCTCACCTTATTATTCTATCCCTTCTTTCGCCTTCGAATCCATTTTGTATATCTTGCGCCGAAAATTTCCACAGTGCTTCACTAGTGACAACCCCGAACAGTAGATCATACTTATTTTGCCCTCCTTTGATCCCGAATATTCTTTCACCGTTTCTTTTATCAGCTTTTTGGTTGTTTACTCCAGACACGCTTGAGAAGCCTTGAAGGTCATTCGGTATGAAAAATGTTAAAAGTTCTTTGGCATAATCAGTTTTAACAACTACTCCATCAACTGATGGACCGAACGCTGTTAAATAACTTGGAGTGCTGATCTCTGCAGACATCAGTTCCTCCAGAGGAACTTCTCTAAGACAATCTACTATCAATTCGTGATCTTTTACTATGTCTTCTGGAAGTGTGCAGTTGGCTTGTTTTGCTAATTGGACGGAAAAGCTGACCGGGTCTTCTACTAGTGCCCAGGAACTTAGCGCTGACCCTGATAGAAGAATCGAACGGTGAAAAAGACCTAAAACAAAGTTAGTGTTACTTAGTGAAGTCTAAATCCAAATAATAGTATTATAAGCATGTTTTGACATACACATCGAAGCCTTTTAAACCAAGTCTATTTTATTCGATTGAGTTTTTAAGATAAAAAGAGATTGGCGATTGGCAGAATCGTCCGCAAGCGATTGAGTAATTTAACAACTATTTGTCAATATAAATACGTGAAGAAAATATTTTGCACATAATTTAAAAAAAATATGGCGCAAGAAATCATTCAATATTTGGAATACGAAATGTTTATAGATAGACTGAAGGTCTGGAATACAGTCGCAATCACCTGTGAAGAATCATATGAATTATCCTAGCCCCGCAGTGGTTTTGTAAATTGGACACATGTGTGGACACTGCGACTTATTATTCTTATTACGCTAGCGCCAGACTCGCGAAATATCGGAAATTGATGGCATTTATATGTGTATATTATAACCTAATCATAATCACAGGTGGAATCAACGTGACTAAAGCCATTCATTTCGTCATATGATTATGATTTGAAAGTAGCAATAATTGCCATAGACGAAGTAGTGAAAGTTAACATTTTTAAATAATACGCACACTAAATTTAAAAGTGTATAAAACTGTTTAGTACTGTTATAGGTATATTTTGATCTGTCTAAAAACCTATACAATCGCAGTTCAAGTTATGCTGGTGAATGGCAAACGGTTGAAAATCGATCACTCGACGATCTCTAGTTATTTTAAGTACACATGCAATGATCATGCAAATTTATTCAAATTCATTGAGCTATTATGTGTTTTTGAACTTATTTAAGTTTTCTATCAAGATTCTTGTTTCAAAAACTATTACCTCTCTTGCCTCTCGTCCTTTAAAGAAAAAGACAAAAAAGACAGTACTCTGTGAACTACTACGAAGTCCATCCCTTTTCTCAACCTAAACTAGCGGTATCTCTTACACTACATGCCTCACTTTACCTCTTTTAAAAAAATAAAATTAAGAAAAATACTATGATAATCAACAGTAACTTACCAGGCATCACAGTTGGCGATATCATCAGGAAATTTATACACGCTGCTCCAGAACCATGGCCTAACATAGTGACATTACCAGCGTCACCACCAAACAGCGCTATGTTCTGTTGCACCCAGTGTAATGCTGCTATCTGATCCATCAGACCGTAGTTTGCCACTCGAGCTTTCAGGTGGGGTATTGGATTCGCATTTAAAAAACCTATTGAGGAAAAAGAAATTGAGGTGTAAATAAAATTTAATTAATTAATTTCTTTAATACGAGATTAAATGGCGTGTGTTAATATAATATTAGGACTATTCTGTACTTGATAAAAGGTCTCTATTTAATGTAAAACTAATCAGACATCTTATACGTGAGAATAACCATCACATCTTTTATTAATAAGGAAAATATATTTAATATATTCAAATACGTTAAGAGAATTTTTCGAATGTAGAACGCGGAACGTGATCTTACAAATTCTAAAGAGATAATAAAAATGTAAGTTAAAAATGTTAAACTATATAGGTTCATTAAATAATTAAAAGTTGAGTGAATTAAATCGTCTAGAAGGCATTCAGAGAAAATTTGTAAGGTACATACAATTTCATTCCAATTGTTACTTAACCAACTATAGTAGTCGATGTAAGAAATTTCACTTACTTCCCTTAGATGAAAGGCCCAAAATTGCAGACTTATCGTTCTTATTCAACATAATGAATGGCTCAAGCCAAGAGACTGAGTTTGTGAATAAAATCGTACTGCGTGTACCATCTAGGTCTTTACGAAGATCGCACCTCCAGTACACTCCTACAGTACTTACTTACCGTAAGCACAAACTACAGGGAAAATTCATACTTAATAAAGGCAAGACGCATAACATGGCATGCCGCAATGTGGAAATCGACCTGTTCACCACCAATGTTACTAAAATGAAAAGGATCATGTGTAGTTTTTCGATGTATAGAATTAAGTTGCTTTCAATTTTTACGATTATAATGTTAGCTTACTAGTAAGTTGTTTAGATGTTAAGTTAATTAGTTGAATGTGAAAACTTGTAATTGGTCATCACTAGCTGTTATTATTATGTACACTGTTTTTTTTAGCTGTAAGTTTTCCAAACATAATGAAATAAATAAATTAAATTCACAACGTATCTAACGTATTTAATTGGGTAACGAATAATAACGTGTTTTTTAAAATAGCTTCGTAAATAATCTATTATTTTTTTGTAATATTTAAAAGATAAAAATGGTTACTGTGCGTTATCATTAGGAGATAGACATATACCAATGCGGACTTTTTTGTAGATCTTTTTAAGATATACAATTCCATAGTACATTATTTTGGTCTGCGTTTGCAATGTAAGTGTACAAAAACCTGTTTTTTACGATAAATCTTTAAAATTCTCGAATTTCCTCTACTATAATATGCATGTATTATATATTTAATATTTCCTCTTGAATTACTCTTTCTATTGTTGAAAACCGCATTAAAATCCGTTACCTAGTTTAAAAGTTCTAAGCGTACAACACAAAAAGCGACTTTGTTTTATACTACGTAAAGATTAGTTATTACAAGCACAAATTTAAAATGTAAAATCCCTTAGACATATAATTCTTTTCCATTATTTAGCAAAGAGCTGAACAGTATTTCATGAAAAATAAACCTATGAACGCTTAATCAAGTCCCAACACAAAAATAAGTAAATAAATTTGAAGCGGTGAATACTTGTAGGAACAATTGTCTATAAACAACAGAGATACAAATATATACACACTCACAAATATACACGTCAAACTTATGAAGTATTTTAAACGCAAAAACGACGGGCTTTTTGGGTCGGGGTTGCCCCCGAAGAAACTTTATATTATTCAGTGTTAGGATAACTTCTTTCGTATTTCTATTGTCTTTCGCGTCATACATTACTTTTTGTCTAAGTTAAATTTATTCTAAAGTAACTCTTCGTATAGTGTTTCAGTGTACATTTATATAAACAATAGACGCTCCCTAAACAAAGAAAGGGCGTAGAAATTTAGAATGTTCACAGTAGAATATTTGTCTATCTTGGGTAATAATATTTTCAATGAGTATATTTTGTTACGTTACTTTTACTTTCTACATTAAATTAGTTTTTATTTAAATGAGTCTTCTGGGAAATTTAAAATCATCTTATATTATTCTTCTTTTATTATTGCTAATTACTTCACGCCAGTTTTGTACTATAACAAGGAGAATATCTTTATTCAATAAATCTCATAAATGGCCGTTTGATCTCAGGATAGACAAAGCATGTACTATGACATCCAAACTTCTGATAAACATCCGTGACGGATTAAGAATACGGAGTCACCACCCCTATTCATCCCGTGGGTGTCGTAAGATCCGACTGAGCAAATAAACTATGCAGGACAACAACACTGCAAAGAGAAGGAAAACTTGACACAAACCCTATTCTAACCCATCTGGCCAGCGTGGTATAGTAGGCCAAAACCTCTTTTCTCAGGAGAGGCCTATGTCCAGCAGTGGACTATTAAAGGCTGTTGATGACGATAAACATCCTATGTATATCTATACTAATATTATAAAGCTGAAGAGTTTGTTTGTTTGTTTGAATGCGCTAATCTCAGGAACTACTGGTCCGATTTGAAAAATTCTTTCAGTGTTAGATAGCTCATTTATCGAGGAAGGCTATAGGCTATATATCATCACGCTCAGACCAATAGGAGCGGAGCACCAATGAAGAATGTTTCAAAAACGGAGAAAATTTATTAATATTGAGAGACGCAGACGAAGTTGCGCGGGTCAGCTAGTAATTATAATATTATTAAATATTCTTATTAAATATATGAACATTATAAGTTCATGATGTTCAGGTATAGAACAAATCATTGTGATTATGTAATTATTAATTTGCACAGCATAGGAATCGTCTACTTAAGCAGTCAAAATTACTTACATCCTTGCCGTAAGGTCTAGAGCCAGAAATTTACTATAGATTTCGTTTATAAATTCAATGGAAAGGAAGCTGAGAGAAATAAAATATAAAAGAAAAAGTATCAAAGTAGCAATATCACAGAACACCATTTTTCGTGTTCTCTTAGAACCTAGACGAGTTCATAACTCAATTGGTTGATCAAAGCCGTAACTTTTACAAGTAATGTTTAATTAAGATAAGTGGTACGTGACGAATACTACTAAAGCACTATTACTGTGTTACCTACATGAAAGTAACGAATTAATAGATATTAGGATACATGGCCTGTTTGCTGAAGGACAATCAGCTAATTGGCGCAAGGATTTATGCGATTATCCAATTCTTTGTAAGTTAATCGTCAATATAGCCAGAATGACTGCCTACTGGCATTAAATATGTCTAAAAAAAGTCAAGTAAGATGTTTTATCCCTTTATTCTCCGCTATTTGAAACAGATTTTTTCTTTAAATTTATATGGAACCAACCTTGATTATAATGACAAAGATGTCTCGAAATATACGCACTGTCAATTTAAAAAAATCTAAAACAGTTGAATTGAGAACTTTTTCCCTTATTTTATTCAAAACCAGTCGACTGATCCCAAACTATGCTAAGAATGTACTAAGATTAGCAGCCGTTTGATTCATATGAGTACATATTACAGATGAATTACGCCCGAACACAGAACAAATTATCATGCTCATCACAACCAGTTTTTTTGTGAAGAGCATAATCATTTGTTGAGTGGGTAGTTTGAAACATTAACCATAAGACCAATAGGTTAATCATGTTTTTTTTTAGTCACGTAGTAGTACGGACTATTTCAAAACAAACAAACAGAAATCTGTAAAAATTAATATCAAAACATTACGATAACAGCAGTTTACCTTGTAAGAGTAAGAGAGAAAGAGTTAAGAGAGATGTAGAACAAATCCGTTTTCAAATTTCATGAAAAATGCTTCTAATTATTTTGTCAATTTGTATTCATTTGAAAAAAAAAGCTAGAAAGCGTTTATCAAATAGTTTTCCGGATCCTCAGCACTATATTATTGAAGTTACTTTTAGGGATTCAGATGAACGAACTGAACTTTGAACTTTGATTCTTTTTTCACTTTGCCAATCTAATACGGAAAACCTAAAACCTAAAAGTAAAAATAACTCACCTAAAATCCCAAGTCTGTAGTTGATGGTGATGACGACCAAACCTCCGTAGCTAGCAAGAACTGAGCCATCATATACGTTGCCCGAGTTCCATTCAAACGATTCACCATGGATGAAGATCACTACTGGATACTTGGCTTGAAGCGTTGGCCCAACTGCAACAAGGAAAACATTTTACATTTAAACAAAAACATATTGAGATTAAAAACAAAAGTTGAAACTTAATTAATAAGTTTATGTGCATTTTGACTGACGATCATCTCTTTTGAGGACTTGATATTGGCTAAAGAGGCGATGGAACGGGAACGAAAAAGGGTAAGTACTGTCTCGTACTGCAGTAGATTCACCAGGCACCAGAGAGGCCAAAATGATCCCTAACCTCCATACGCCCGGGGCTAACAGTTCAGTCTGACCGTTACTGAAGCAGTCCTGAGACAGTGGCGCGATATGATCCAAGTGTGCCCTTTCTATCTGGAGGGGCATCAGGGATCCAGTACTCAACAGTTTTGTTACCTGTTTATCAGGTTGCATAAGTCTGTAGGGGTTATTATTTATTTAAGTTTATCATAAGATACATTAAACATGTTAATGAATAACTAACACGCACATTATGATTATGACACAAAAAATCGTGAGATAAATCTAAATACTTTATTTATTTTTGTATTTTCAACTTAAACTTTTTTATTAATTGAATAGTCACAAGTGAGTTGCCAAGTAAACCCCCAGAATTAGGGCCAGCGAGGTTATCCTCACTTACTGGGTAAAAAGCAAAGGCAGAACTGCTTCATATCTGTCTTCTGTGATATCACTCATGTGGAGCCGGTCTGTTTGTCCTGCATTTAAAAAGAGGTAATACTATCATGAACAAGGTTGTTTACGACAAAGAAGATTATGTGCTTGTGGTACTAGATATCGCCTGGCGGTTGAATTTCAATCGTTTTAACTCTTCTTATTTTATTTCATTGACTAGTACAATTTGATCTGTCATTTTATAGACTTTTACACCATGATCGAAATATATACTGAATCTCTATAGTTTTATTATTTTATATTTTCCGTGGCTCCACCTGTTTGTATGTCGGCAATCGCGTTAAAAAGTAGCCTATGTTACTCGCTGAAAATGTAGCTTTCCATTGGTGAAATAATTTTTGAAATCGGTTTAGTGTTTTGGGAGTGAAAGCGTAACAGACAAACAAACGCACTTTCACATAAATGATATAAGTATGGAAGATGTGGAAGAATGGATTGTTTAAAATGTATTATAACCTAATGAACTGAAAAAAATTAAAGAAATAAAATCTGCTTAAAAACTTTAAAGTACTTTGACCACTTTTTTATCCGTGTGGTGACGGATTAAGAATACGGAGTGTCACCACCGCTATTCATCCCGTGGGTGTCGTAAGAGCCGACTAAGGGAGCAAACTACGCAGAACAACAGCACGGCAGAGAGAAGGAAAACTTGACACAAACCCTATACCAACCCGTCTGGCCAGCGTGGTATAGTAGGCCAAAACCTCCTTTTTAAGGAGAGGCCTATGTCCAGCAGTGGACTATTAAAGGCTGTTGATGTGATGATGTGACTTTGACCACATAACATACGCTAGATAGTAGTTAGTATAGTTATAGCATTATGCTATTAATTTTTGCATTAACCCATTAGAAGTCACTGTACTCAATTGAGTACAGCCATTTTTTTTGAATTTCAATTCAACACTTGTAAAATTAAAGGGGCCTACTTTGTTATTTTATTTAATTATAATACTGTTCACGTATATTGAAAAGTATTACGCTGGTAGTGTGATTATTTTTGCCAAAAAGTGTCAGTTGAAGTAGTGTCACCGTAACACTGGGGAGGTAAGTAAATGATATGAGATTTTTTAAAGTTATTTCTGTTTATAAGTTATTTTTTTATTTCATTAGTATAAAATAAATGTCCGAGTAAGTTATAATAAGCAATACAATCAATGATTCATTACTAAAATAAAACTACAGTCATATAATGTTGCTGTACTGGACCCCTGAAATTTTATGAAATCTAAATTTTTTCCATTTTTTTGTTTTGTTTTGTGTTTCTGTGTACTTATTTGAATATAAAAATAAAGATAATTTAAAAAAAACATCGTACTTCATCATCATCATACTTTTCATTTGACCTTTAATGGGTTAAACAAAAGTGCCTAACATTTGAAAGATAAAAACAGTAAAGGTACTCTTCCACTATGACAATAAAGTTCAAAACGATTATCTAAAGCTGTGTTTTTCATTCTTTTACTTTTATGTACGTTATCAAGTTTTCGCGTGACAGCACCGTTGTGCACGCCTGATAAAGTCTGAACATTGGATATGTGCCAACGGGAGTGAATTATATTTTTATCATTGAATAACAATGAATACATACAATATTGTTTTCCAAATAAATTACTGAATTTCCGGGAGCTACGGCTTGTGGTTCGGCCGTATTCTGTTACGCTATTTTTAGGCTCTGTCGGAAATAAATATGAATAATCTTTAACGTAAAGCGATTATGTAGCGTGTAGCGTAGTGTACATATAAAATGATATAGACTGTGACAGACTACAGAAGTAGAAGTGTGACATTTATTATTGTGACACAAATAACAGTCCGTGATTTCTAAACAGGTACGTGAGCATGTAAACCTTATTCAAATGTCATTCATTACCATAAACGACACATAGGTTCCTAAATACAATTAATACAAAGCTAAAATTTAGTGTCTCGCCTCAATTACTATTTTTAAAGACAACTCCCGCATTAGGAATCTATTCTGTGTCACGGGGGACTTTACAAACGTACATTAAACAGATTGAAGAAACACTCAGCCTCCATCTGTCGTCCCATGTGGGGTTTGAACCCACAACACTCGGCGTAGCAGGCAGCGGCGTGGCGACCGCTTAAACCACTACGTCATCCGTGCGGTCGATTACAAGTAATATGCTCTTAAGAATCGCGCTGTCTGCTTCTAAGCTGAGTGTTGTGGATCCGATCCCCACATGGGACGACACTTGTGTGATCCACTAATTGTCGTTCTGACTCTGGATGTTCTTTGTGTCCGTTTCATGTATGTTTGTAAAGTCCCTCGTGGCGCAGGATATATTCCCAATGCGGGAGTTCTTTAAAAAAAAAAATGAAATTCAATATTTAATTATTGACTAAAATACTAATGATAACCAAACTACTAATGAAAATATGTGTATAGATATTGTAAATAATTACCAACTATATAAGATATATCTAAAAGAATTGACTAGAAAAATGAATCCAATACCAAGTTAGATTGCAAGCTCTGTAATGCGATATATAGAAGCTAAACATGGATTCAATATTCCAATATATTTCTTGCTCTCACATCGAATCCCAACAAACTAGTATTTTCATATAAAATTTACAAGTCACTGACGTAATAATATCTAAAACTTTACCTCGTAGCGTTCTTTGCTGAATTTACGAGTAAGATTTATTTATTTTATAGACTTAATATTAATAATATCGAGTAATGAAAGGCGGTAGCCGAGTAAACGGAGGTTTATATGAAGCGAGACGATAAAGAGATGAAATAAAAACTAATGAGTTGTTGAACGATCCAATGAGAGTATGTTGACGTTAAAGGGAATCTTATGAGGAAGTGCATGATATCATTATACCTATACACATAAATAAAATTGAAGTATATGTTTGTAATGTTGAAATATTAGGTCTTTACCTATGAAATTGCCGTTTTGTATGCAATAAGTGAAAGTACTTATTTTTTCAAACTTTTTTATTTCTGTTATTCGAAGTAATCACCCATGCAATCGACGCATCTTTGCCAACGCATTGGCAGTTTATTGATGCCCTTCTTGTAAAAATCAGCTGGACGGGAGGCAACAAACTCTTCAAAGTCATTTTGTACTGCCTCTCGGGAATTGAATTTTTTACCCACTAAAAAGTTGTCGAAATTTTGGAAAAAGTAATAGTCGGTAGGTGCAAGGTCTGGTGAGTATGGCGGATGGGGAGAGCTTCCAACCCCAGCTCTTGCAGCTTGGAGACTGTCTGTTGCGCAGTATGGGGTCGCGCGTTGTCGTGAAGGAGCAGTGGGGACGACCGATTGACCAAAGCTGGTTGCAGATGTGACCTATTAATAGGTATTTTCATGCTCACACGATTATTTGCACGATACCTATACCTTTGTCTGTATGTCTGTCTTTATGTCTGTCTGTTTGTTCCTCGTAGTCTAAATGATTTTGATAATATTTTACTACCTGTCTATATAAGGAGTAACTAATCGTATTTTTTCTCTCACAAAAACCCTATAAAATTTTGCCGGGCCGGATGTTTAACACACTAGGGCAGCACTTTTCAAATTCACGCGAACGACGCTAGAACAGAATAAATAACCCAGGACAACAGCACTGCAAAGAGAAGGAAAACGGGACGGGTCGGTCGCCGACCCGCCTGACCAGCGAGGTATAGTAGACCACTTTCTTTCTAAGGAGAGGCTATGTCCATGAGTGGACAAATTAAGGATGTTGATGATGATATAACGAATGACTCTTAAAAATATGTATTTTTTTTAGAATGTAGAATATTAGAATTAGAATTTAAATCTAATTTGAAACTACTTATATGAATAACTGTGGGCGTTATATTGTTTTAAAATATAATAGCGTAATACTATTGTAAATAATACGAATAATAGCACGAACAGTAGAAGTAATACAAATTTTTTAAGGCAAGTAAATTTAGTACATGGTTCTGAATAACAGGTAGAACCTTTCCAATACAAAATATAACGTAATTCTAATGAGGTAGCCGGAGGGGTTACACCACTCGAAAAGTTAAGGTAAATTTTACCGAAAGACGATTTACAAGCTTTTATTTAACTTGTTCTGTTCATATTACTTTCCGTATTCCCGGTTCGAAGTGTCTTATTTATTTTTCGAGTGCTTGCTGGTACTGCGTGCTTGCGGGTACTTGCATGATACATATCAATTTTAATTATATGTATTTAAATGAAATAATTCGGATTACAATATGTTTTTCTCGCGAATTATCTCAGCTTTTGTGACGTCCTGATCTAGAATAGAAAAGATAGAAAGAACAGTGGACCTCTTCAGTAATGTTGATAGATTTGTAATAGGTTTTAAAGCATTTTAAGGTCTACAATTTTAAGGACCTTATTGGACTAGAGTAGCAGAGGATAGTGCTCAGTGGAGAGAGCTGGAGGAGGCCTATGCCAAGAGGCGCACCGAATTGCGAGACATAATATAACAAATAGAACTCGGAAATATGTATTGTCAAATCTGTAGCGAATTCGGAAGAAAAGGGCTTTATTATTATTATATATGTATTTAGTAGTTATAAATCACACCACACACATCCACACCACTAGGCTTGTTCTGCACATACTATATTCCCTCTAGTACGTTATATACTCACCAATATACAACAAATAGATAATATATGTAACTATCACTATCATATATATATATATATATATATATATATATATATATATTAAATATATATAT